TGTAATAAATCACACTCCTGAGTATAACTGCACCCCGAGTCCATCAGTACTGCCAGCAAACCACTCCCAACACAGTGTGATCGCCAAGAATGTCTCCAGGCCTTGCTCCACCTTCCCTGAGGAGCACAAAGCTCTACTCTTTCAACTGGCACACATGTGAACAACAAAGACTAAATACAGCCTAAATGAAGGTGGGTGAAGAGTCAGGACAACAAAACATACCATATTCCCGCCAGCAGCTGCAAGGAGAAAGGAAGATGCTATTCTTAGGCAGGAAAGCAAAACCTGAATGGGACTATGGGTGCCAGAGAACTGCTGAATGTTGTTAACCGAGGATGTGAGGAAGTATTCATCTTTTGGGGAAATACAACCCTAACTTTTGCTTTGTGCTTCCTCTACCATAAACCACTTCTCTACTCCAAGCCTTTGTACAACTTGTTTCCTGTGCCTGCAACACTGCCCTCTCCATCTCTTTCCTCTTGGTTAACTGCAAACCACTGTTCAGACTTGAATTAAATTCATTTCTGTGAGACCTGTGAGACCTCACCCACCAAAATTTATTACGTCACACTTAGAGGAAGGTTGCTTCTCTCGACTACAACCCCCACTAGAAAGCTTCCATACCTCTTTTGCTCATGACTGTATGCCAAATCACATGCCATTAATAAACACATCAATGATCAGTAAATAAATGAGTTGCAATTTTACAAGCATTCCTTGTCATAGAATAATCTGTAAATAAAATATTTTTCAAGTTAGAAATAAAAAAGTTCAAACTTCCGGCAACTATCAATGGGAATCCACAAGTTTTTATAAATAGTAAGCTCAAATCTGTCCCAGGGCAGTCAAACACCAAAGTGACCAAATCTAACCTAGTTATACAAAATGAACAGTTTCAAACTGTTGTCTGGATTCTCAAGAGTACCGTTATTTTGTTCTGCACTGAAGTCGAGCAAAAATGGGCCTTCCATCAAAATAAAATGACTTACTTCGGCGAACTAGCTTGACTTGAAACCACGCAAAGTAAGACTTGCTTAATTTACACACTATCACCATGGTTTGGTTTATATGACTACCAAAGTTGCACAAAACATGCACATGGAGCTACAGATGAGTGACAACCCACCACAATCAGTGAGGGAGAGAAAAGAGAGCCGAGGTGATTTAGGAGACCATGGAAGGGGGAACGAAATACAGTCAGGCTATACCCATTCTCCACAGAGCAATGACCTCAGCAAAGCAATGTTATCAGCAAAACTGTTCATCTGCATTTCTGTAACTCTTCAACTACTGTATTTCCTTAACTACTAAGAAAATAAGGGAGGAATAGGACATGAAAGAAAAATTTTCAGTGCAAGTAAAAGGCTGCTGAATTCAGTAACAGACTTGTTAGCCTAATGTTACCAGTTAGAATGAAGTCATAGCACTCACATGGGTGCCTTCTATAGCAAAGGCTCCTGTATTTTTCTTGAAAATTGTTTCCAAGGTCAGTAACTTTCAGTGTGTGAAGCTGTTAAGCAGGATATCTACTCTCTGCATGTAACCTCTTTAGTTTCTCTCATGCAAAAGTTTAATCCAAGAAGTGTTGTACTGTACTTGCTGTGGTAATACACAGTAAATGCACAAAAGTCATTCCTAAAGGTGATTAACTACCCGTCTGCCAACTGACCAATGCAACTGCTTTACCTCAATTCTCACTTGCCAATCTTGACTCCCTTTATAACACACCCCTGTTCAATTCTCTCTCCTTTTCTCACCATTCCAAGCTCAGCTTTATCAAAGGGTACTCATCAGCCAGCTCAGTTTACTTCACTGACTCCAGCTGTTTTCAAAGATGCTTTTAAGTAACACAACATGCTCCCTGATCTCCCCAACCCCACTCCCTCCTCATAAAATTCTTCAGATAAACTCAGTGCTCATGTAAACTGACCTCCTCTACTTCTCTGGAAGTATATGAGGAAACGGTAGAAGCAGCGTGCTCTACAAACAAATGTAAAAATGGCCGAAAACTCCCAGTCCTGACGTCACTGCAAAAGGTCAGCCACACACTTCCCACACGCTCCCATCTCGGCCTGCTTGGTCGCCTGCCTCCATCACAGTTTTCATGGTTATTCACGTTTTAAATCTCTGCATCTTCCGTTTTCCCTACTTGAAACCATCTCCTCTTTTCAGTCTCCCACATGCACAATCTTCATCTTCTCTATTCTCTACCCAGGAAATGTCAACTAATTGAGGCTTTTTATTATCACTATGTATCAGTAAAATAGTTTGATTTACTTAGCTGTACCCCTACCAATTCACCCTGCACTCCACCGCCTGTTATTTTTACAAGCAAAGCTCTCGTGTGTGAACTGTGCAAAAACTCCGCCACTCCTTAACACAGGCAGAAATACACACAAAACCTCGTGGTCAGTACCACTCAAGGTTCTCTGTCATCTGCCAGAAACCTTTTCTCTCCCAGCCTCATCTCAGAAAACTAAAGAACTGTCCCAGAGACACTGCTTGCCCCTGCTCGCCTTTTCTCTCAAAAAGGCATCCCAATTCCAGGCAACAGGACTCCAAATGCAATGATGTGTCCTGATCCAGAGAAGTGGTCTGCAAACTAAGGCCCTCCACACAGCCACACTCATTTTTTTATATTTTTGCCTTCACACCTCAAGGGCAGGGTTGAGCAAGTAAACAAGTTCTCAAAGCCTTCTTATGAACTTGCTGCTTACAGAAGTTGAAAGACTGCTAGATGCAGAGGAGTAACAGGCCGACTCTCATTTCTGTTAGGAGAACCAACAGTGGGCATGTGGTAGGGACTGAAGGAAGGCGACTCCTCGGGACGTTTACACAATAATCTCAGATCAAAGTGTTTCCCACGGCTGGAAGTGAAGACGGTGAAGAAGGTGGTAATGAAGGTACAGACAGGAGAACCAGTTGATGGCTTCCCGTTGTGAGGGGAAACGGGCGAGGATGGCATCTAGTTTCCGGCCTGAACACCCTGACGAACACCGTGGCTACATTCCAGATGGAGACCACCACGGGTATGTAAGTCTGTGAGGAAGATCAGAGCCACGACTGAGAAGCAGTTACAGCGACTGTGCTGCGCAAACACCTCCGACGACGCACGGCCTCCTGCAGAAAAGCTCCAACTTACAGCGCTCAGCCCTCCTCTCACCTCTGACCTCAGCAGACCTGGAGCACAGCCCACTCCAGCCGAACAGGCCTCTTGCTGGGCTCCGGCACGCCAGGAGGCTCCCGTCTCTGGCCCACACACCCGAGGCTTCCGCGGGGATTCGCTTCCCAACTCTCACCCCACTGCTCAAATATAACTTTCCCAGGACTAAATTCCGACAGCTCCCTGCCGCTTCCTCATCCCTGACTCTCTTCCCTTCTCCGCGCTTATCAGCAATGTATTCACTACCTTCTGGCATAACCTGTTTTGTCCTACCCTCTTCCTATAGTAGAAGCCCCAAGAGCTCAAGAATGTCTTTTTCACACACTGTAGTGACTGTAGGCCTAATTCATAGCAGGTGACCAATACGTATCTTTGATTTAATGAACTGCCCCGAACAATAAGAGCAATTTATTGAAGAGTTTGGAAAATTCTACTTGGCATTCCGAGTTGGAGGAGGGGCACGTATACCTACACTGCATAGCTCAACGAACACAAGGATCTGACTCAGTGTCCTTTCCGCCCGCGCCAGCAGCACGTTTCCTCCCTCTCCCGATCCCAGTACTGACAACGCGCGGAATGGGTTCATAAACAGTGCACTTAAAAACCGAGTTTCCCACGGCAGTCTATCAAGTCTACAATCTCCTCGGTCTCATCTCCAACCATCTCCTGCCTGCAGCACGCTCGGCCAAGCCGACAGTGTTCAGTCCACCAGACGCCCTCCTCACCACAGGCACCTTTCCCCGGTTAACCTCTCCGTCCGGACTGCTCTCTGCCCACCCCGCCCAGCTATCTGCTCCCTTGCTCTAATCTCTTCCTGTCACCCCCACTGCACCCCGCCTGACCATCCATCGAAAGACGAGACCACCGCTTTAACCTTCTCCTCTATTCACTTTCCAGCACTTGAAGGCTTGTCAAGTCTCCCTCACACCCAGGCATTTTCCTTGCGAGAGTCCATCGCGCCCACCTGGCTCACCCCAATATCCAGAACGCCTAGAACTCTAACCAGCCTAGGTGACGACCGCAAGGGGCAGCTACGGCGGGGGTGGGTTCCATCCTACCGCCAAACACACTGACAGTACCAAGCTAGTTGAGACCGGTTATCAGGCAGCTAGAAGGGTCGCTGGAAATGAATACGTGGGACTATTTTCATGACTCCCACAGGACCTGGAGCCAGGCTGCAGCAAACCCAAGCAGATGTGTGAAACTCCCAGTCTCTGCACGCCTTGAACAGATTCATCAAACTGACAGGTCCCCTGACTTGATAAACTGCTTGATTTTCTTTAAGCTGGGGCGGTACACCTGACATGAACCGAAATGCATTCCGCAAACCCTGAGGAGGAAGGACCGGACAACCCACGTGTCACCGAAGATCACGCCTCCAAGTCACAAACACCGCAGTTAGGGAGCGCCAGGCGGTCAAAGGCCTCCGGGGGGAACCTCACGCGGCATTTCACCTGTCACCCAGCAAGCCCGGGAATCCCGCAGGCGAGCCGGGGGCCGGGAGGGGCCGGGAGGGGCCGGGGCGTCTCGCCGCCGCGCGCCCGCCTCGATCGCAGTCCTGTAAATGACCCCCGGGTTCTGAGCCTAAACAGAACCAACGGAAGCGCCCCGGACACCGCAGGGGAAAGGGGAGCAGGGCGCCGGGCCCACGGCCCT